TCCAGGGTGAATTATACAGCTACTAATGGTCAAAATGCCGATTTTGGCGTGTTTTACACCAAATATCTCAATAACTAGATTTTTCCCAGATATAACAGATACACAAGGAGGTAGATCGCGCTGAGTTCTACAAACTTGAAAAGTTTCAGCAATAGTTATGGAGCCGTTTTTTTCGTACTCAAATCGCTGTTATGTGCGGCAAATTAGCTACATTTAGCCGTGTTAACATTTCGTTCAGAGGAACGATAACAGAGTTATCGCCCCTCTAACACTTCATTCCATACAATACAAAAACACATCACAGCTTTCTACAATACACAAACTCGCTATATTATCTACACTACACTTATACAACACACAAACTCGTTACAGCTATCTACAATACACAGCTATCTACAATACAAAAAAACAAAATCGTCACAGATATTTACAATAAAGAAAGTAAACTCGTCACAGCTATTAAAAATACACAAAACAAACTCGTCAACAATACCTAAAATGCACAAAACAAACTCGTCAGATATATATCTAAAATACACAAAAACTAATTAATCACAGACATATGCAATACATTAAACAAATTTAATTATAGATATGTATGATACACACACAAAAAACAAAAGAAGCATACATTGTAGCTATAAATTTTGAAGTCGTCCAAATGAAAACTGTAAAACATAGCCAAATAATAATTTTATTGAATACAGCACATCTTATTAAATTTTTATATCTGCCTTATCATACAGATGCTTGTTGGGGTCGTTGTCACCACCCCAGTTCCAACTTTGAGAACATGACATTATATCCAGATTTGACCTGTATGTACATTGCGGGTGTCGTTACTGAGACACAGAAGACATATCCTTCCAGAAAAGTTTGTCATATTTCAAAGGATTCCGTTATAATGTAACTTTTTATTTTTATTTTGTCTTAGTTTCTTGGATATTGATTTCAAATCACGATTCTGTTTACACTTTGCCTGTCTCCTTGTTTTTCTTTGATATCATCCAACAAACAATGGAAAGATTACTGACTCGGAATGTCCTCTATTTTAGTGACTCGGAATGTACTCTATTTTAGTGACTCGGAATGTACTCTATTTTAGTGACTCGGAATGTACTCTATTTTAGTATTCACGGTTTAACATAAGAGCTGAGCTCAGGTTTTCGTCAATGGTCTGTGCTTCATATAGTTTTATCTCTTGTCTATATTTTAACTATATATTATCGACAAAAGATAAAGGTCAGAAATAAGTACTAGTATCAATATTATGTAGGTATTTGAGAGATCGATGATTTCAGGTAAAACAACCCAATAAAGTTTGCATTGACAAACAATACTCAATTCATGGCATTACGAAAAATAAACACCTGTGCTTTTTTGGTGGCATTTAATGCACAAGTGTGTAATCTCTTGTAACAAATTGACAATTTTGACAGAAGTGTTTGTTTTATACGCACTAAATAGAATATTCCAGTGAAAAATTAGAGTCTTTAAAGGGACATCACGTGAAGAGACATTTTTTTTTTTTTAATGAACATAGTCCGTTCCAAATGTCCAGTTTGACCACTTGAATTGTTCGGGAAATCCCTGCTAAAAATAGCGCCGATATAGGCAGTAAACATAAGTGGTGTGACCGAGATGAAACGGTTTCCAAATGGGCCTCCAGAGAGGGGCCGTTAGAGGAAACTGCAACTTCTTACCGCAATATGTAACCAAGTAATATAATATTTTTTTTTTAAGTCCGTATTCAAACTTATTGAACAGTAATTATTCATCATCAGAAGTTAATTGCACATTTGCCAATATTCAGAATTTAAATGTATTTAGCTTTAAACATATATTTGTTGCCAATAAAATTGAACAAGGGATGGGGGCACAAGTTTGTACAAATTATCACAGCCTTCTCCCGTCATACATTTACAATAAAATGTCAACAATGATAATAGGCATAAACATAAAGTAGATATTTATAAATATATATTGAATTTAGTACCGGAATGTGACCGGTACGGATGGTACGGGGCTAAACACCTTCCCTTAATCATGGGACAAACCTTTCTGTAAAAAGGAATATTCACGAGACGAATATCCCTTTTCAAATATTTACATAAAGTGCATTTATGCAATGACAAACTACACGCGAATAGAAAAGGAAATGCTTGTGAATTTATTTATTACATTATTCAACTCAGTGTCTTTGGCCAATTTCTTTTTCTAGACCATGCATATAAATGTATGTATACTCTCTTTCCCACTTTCACTGTCTCCATACGCTAACACTTAGTAAGTCATATTAGCCATCACACACAATAAACTGTATGGCAAAACCACTACGTGTACATGTAGAATATGTGTCAATAAGGAACTTGTTGAGATACTTGATAATTATATGTTTTCAATACTTTACAGAGATTAAAGAATACTCGTAAATGGACCTTTTTATGTTGAGACAACTTTTCTTTAATCAGTTCCTTTTGTCCGAAACAGAAGCCTTAGTTATCGGTAGCACGCGCCATTTTTACAACGTAATCAAATATTTTTTTAAGTATCTCATTTGACCCCATGATCACGAGTACCCACAGAGGAGAGAACAGAATACGCCGTGGCCATCACAACAGTTATCCCTTGGAGGGCCTCGTGGCAAAATCAAACTTTGTACCAGTCACTTATCCCTTCCTTTCGCATATAAACCACTGTATAATTATAAAACACAAAGTAAACTCTCTCCGATACATGCCCATTAACATATTAAACTAAGTTCATCTGTGTTCAAACTCCCACAACGATACTAGCGAGATTAATAGTTTTAGATATTTATTCATAACATAAACGGCGCTAGCATTTCTGTCGATTTCATTTCAGCTTAACCGGCTATCCAGAAGAATACATGCACCGTACTAACTGCTAGGGCAGTAATTTTCTGCTTTGAATACTTCCCACTGGCAATAATGATTCCGTAACGTACCCCTTACGCTATCTTTTGACCATTTGGCAACTTTTCGCTTTATAGCTGACACGGTACAACACTTTTCTTTCGCTAACTTCACACAGCCAGTCATTTTGTTTACAAAGAAATGGTGTGCTATGCGCATGCGCTAGTAGAGGGAAATCCCTGAACAAAACGTTGGTCAGACAGGTAGAAATACCGATGATTATCTTAGATTTAATCATTTTTATGAATCTATTTCAGCCAAATCCGATCGTTATTTTCCATAAGGAGTCTCACTTGATATGTTTAGGTAGTATTTGAGGGAAAAGACAAAAAAAAAAGTTACTTCAGCCAGGGACAGTATATATATACGTCCCTGCTTCAGCGGGATGCCCCTTTAACATTTGTCATTTCCTGAATAATAGACTAGCGGTGAGCGTACATGCTTGGCTTGTTATCTGTTGAACCTATCCATAACCTCAGTCATATAAAACGTGCTTGGCACGATGTCAACCTAAGCGTTTGTTTTGTCACTACTAGTTGAGCCCATGGGAATAATATTAACGTGACATCAATTACTTGTGACAAGTGTTTTTTTCTTCTATAAATTAATACCACATAATCTCACAACAAAAAGCGCTGTCGTGACACGCTGTCCACGCGTTGATGCTATATTATGTAACTGTATTGCACACCATTGGTATTTACTCTATCGTAACAGAGTTTTACTCCAGGAGATTTACACTCGTGTGAAAAAGCATGCGAAAAACGCAAAATGTTGTTTTAAAATAAATGGTCATGGATGATTGCAGATTCTAAAAACTGTTAAACCGTTTGTTTTGCAGAATATCTCAAAATGGCTTACCTTTCCGTAAAACTTACTAGATCAGTCTGGATGTAGACTATCGCATGTACGTTAGTACAAGCATTGCAAATGTTGTTATAAAATAAATTGTCATGGATGATTGCGGATTATAAAATCTGTTAAACCGTTTGTTTTGCAGAATATCTCAAAATGGCTTACCTTTCCGTAAAACTTACTAGATCAGTCTGGATGTAGACTATCGCATGTACGTTAGTACAAGCATTGCAAATGTTGCTATCAAATAAATTGTCATGGATGATTGCGGATTATAAATTCTGTTAAACCGTTTGTTTTGCAGAATATCTCAAAAAAGGCTTACCTTTCCGTACAACTTACTAGATCAGTCTGGATGTAGACTATCGCATGTACGTTAGTACTGTACAAGCATTGCAAATGTTGTTATAAAATAAATTGTCATAGATGATTGCGGATTATAAAACCTGTTAAACCGTTTGTTTTGCAGAATATCTCAAAATGGCTTACCTTTCTGTACAACTTACGGGTTCAGCCTGGATGTAAATCTCGCCTGTACGTCAGCTCATATAACTGACCCAATTGACTGGCTAGCCATATTTTACCAGGCATTAAGCCCCCATGCAGTTGCTCATGGCCTGGTTGGAGTAAACAAGCGGTAAGAGAAAATTTAACAATATGAATAAAAGAAAACAAAACACATTTGATATCCTTTTACTGCCATAAATTTGCTGAGACAGATAAGATAGATTTGTTATGATGATTTATTTTGCTTAGAAAGCTCTCGCCTTGTATTGTCAACAATATGAAGTTTTCACTGACCACTGGTTAAAGTTAACCAACCTTGGAATAACTGGGGTGAGGTGTTTTGTTTACCTGTCCTCTAATCTGGAATTCCATTGTGTGAATACGTGTGACAGTACTGCGGCATACTAAAGACGTTTATTATCAGGGCTTTTTACTTATGGTGAAAAGATCTATAGTTTTGTTTTGTTTCTTATTAGGGCTTTGCACTAAAGTGAAAATAAACTATTGTTTTTGTTCGGCTGCTTTTTCTCGGTATTATTATTCTTCTGCCATCATTTTGTGGCAACCTAATCTTTTGATTGATAGCAGATATGTTCAAAGTCTTTCTTCAGGTATATTATAGGTCATGATTGGAAGGTGTTATTGCAACATTTTCAAGTAGGTCAAAAAAACAATATGACCGCCATGACGTCATATGTCAAACTCTTTTAACGGCCATAACTCAAAAACCGTTCATTATACAGCATTTATGCTTTTATGATTGTGTTCGGAGCTATTTTTTCCTTATATGTTATTAGAAAAAAATCAAATTAAGATCCTTCCTGTCGGGTCAAAGTTCATCACTTTTTCAACTTTTCCATTTTCCAAGCTGTTTGAAAAAAAAATTGCACTTGATAGGAGATGTGAGCTCAATGAATTTGATGTCTCCACTTTTTCTGTAACGTTTACCGTAAACATCCTATGCCATTTTGAATATTTCCTTTGATCTCCATATATCACCACCGAGACACGTTCATAACTAAAACAAGTCTAGTACCTGATGGTAATACTAAATATAGTTTGGATAGTTAACATTTTTACAACGGTTCGATCTTTCTTCAGCTGGCAAACCGAACTGATATAGACAAAATGACAATTTTAATTCATAATCTTTAGAACTATATGATTTCTGCGAAGTACGGACTACCTTCGTATACAACACCACCTATTGGCTGTCTATATTAATCCACTGTTGCTCTGACGTCATTTCACTATCTGGGAATCCCCCACTACGCTATCAGCTTCCGTAGACTACCGAGGAATAGTTCGTGTCTGATACTTAGAATAAATGAATTTATATTGACTATTAACACACCAAATGTTTTTCCTCAAAGTTGCAGCTATGCTCTTACGAAATGTTCATAGATATAAATTGACTGTTTGAAGCAAAAGACCATGATATAAAGGTTTGTGAACTAATCCAAATAAGTCCTAACGGTGAAAAGCCCGTTAAATTGTTATCCAACAATTTCTAGTTATTTTTATTCTTCTGCCAGATTTTGTGGCCACCTAACCTTTTGATTGGTAGAAGATATGTTTATAGTCTTATAAATATTTTGTAGGGCAAGGTCAAAATGTGGCATTGCAACATTCAAGTAGGTGAAAAATCTAATATTGCCGCCATGACGTCATATGTCAAAATATTAAAATGGCAATAATTCAAAAATCAATGATTGTACAGCAGTCATGCGATTATATTATTTGTAGATATTATTTGGGGCTAACTTTTTGTTATTACATATTATTACAAAAAAGGTCAAATAAAAATCCCCACTGTTGGGTCAAAGGTCACAAATTTTCAACTTTTTCATTTGTTAAGGTTTTTCAAAAAATCTTTTTGTAGTCGATGGAGAATTTTATCTCAATGAATTTGCTATCTTCAATGTTTCTGTAACCTTAACAATTAACGTCATACGCCATTTTTAATATTTTCCCTGATCTTTTTGAAAAGCCGACAGTATGTTAAAACCGTTTTATTGTGATGTCATGGTTAGCAAATTTTATCCAGTCGAGGTAGTCATGTTTGCCAAAAACACCTACAACATATTTTTATAATTCTAATCTTGATAAAGATGGTCGCCATGACGTCATATCCGTTTTTTCCTAATTGCAATAACTCAATAACGAATATAGAGGTCATAGAGGTCAAATTCCTAAAAAAGTAAATGTTTCTTAAACCAGAATATTTCAAAAAAGGTTTTAGGCATTTACATTATATTTTGGTATGAGGTTAAAGATGACAATACACATATTTTTTCAGGAAACATGTTTGTCTTAAAGGACAACTTTCGGCTTTTTGTAGGGTCAATGTTTAAATATGCTTTTTCAAGGTAAAATCTTTGAGTAACTTTTCTGAAGTTCTACGAGTTCTAGCGTCTTTATATTTGAGCTGTAACATGCTCATGTGATTGGATATCAAGTTTAAAAGAATGATTGACCTCTATCAACCTTCAAGGTCAAACATTTCAAAATATTTTAACAACCTTTCCCAAATAAGGAAAAGGGTTAGGTCCATGATATTTGACAAGGAACAATCTTGAACGAAGGGCTTTTACATGTTTTCAATGAATGGCCTTCATATACATAAAATATGACTTGTGAAAAAGCCCGTCAAATTGTTAGCCAACAATTTATAGTTTTAATATATCTTGTGTTTGATCTTTAATTGTCTATTACATTTTCTGCAATAGATATCTCTTAATTATCTTGTGTTCACATACAATTTCCTTTCTTCAATAAAAGAAATTGTAGATTGTAGTTGCAATCCTGACATCAAGCACCATGAAGATACAAAGACTGTTTCTTTCAAAATCCTGGTGGAATATTCTGTTGCTAGATATACCATAATATGTATTAACTTTATTTATATTACAACAATTATGACACAAGTTATATAACTTCTATTGATCACTCTTGTTGGCCTGGGTGTAAGCGTGCAGGGGGTCTCTGTTGCTGGATCTCTAAACCCACAACCTTCAAAGCCACGGTTAATAATATTCACATTTTACTTATTAATTTGAAATTCATCAGTACTCGTCTCAAGTTTGATTTTTGTGTAATTAAAGAGTTTAAGGCACTCCATTCTGTTTCAACAGTACTTAATAGCAATTTGGCTGCAAACTGGGCAATGTTATTCCTTTTTTGACAGACTGTATTACCGAATTGATATCACGTATGTGTCTTACGATCAGGTCTTTAATGGGGACTACATAATTCATTAAATAGAAGAATTTAATGAAATATCTTGATAGCAAATTCATTGGATCTGTGTTTGGTTAAAACAGTTTATGAAATTTTAAAAGCAAGTTAATGTATTATAATGGATTTATTTTACTACTGATCTAATCATGATGGACCTGTTGATAATAGGTTTAAGCGTTTTAATTTGTTAAATATCACAGAATATTAACTTTCATATCAACCTTTCTTATAAGTATTGAATCAGTAGTGTGTTCAAATCTTGTCAAATGTCGGTCATACATGGAGCAAGATCCTTTTAACTTCATCCTCTAAATTGAAAATACACGTTTCTTAATCCCGTTTTGGGTACAGTGACGTTACATCGGCAGAAAAATTGATAATGTGTGTATCTCAGTAAGCTTCCCCTCTCTTAACCTACACTACCTAAACTATAAAACTATTGTTTTCTACTAGAGCCGGTACGGCCTGGTGTCCCCCTCTTTTGTGCAATATGTAATTGTGTTCCTGTCTCCTAGTGTCCAATGTGTAGGTATGTGCTCATATATTGAAAAGTAAACATGTCTTTTGAAAAAAAAATAGAACTCTAAAATAAATGCTCATGTTGGTTTTTTTTCTCATGTAGACAATCTGTCTTTTTGTTTTTTTGAATTACAGGAAACGTTTTAGGATTTGGACTATCGCCTGTTACTTCCCAGAATCAAACAGTTTAAAATTGATATCCAGATTTCCACTGTTTTTAATTTTAAGACGTCGCCTTGGAAACCTGTCTTTAAAAGTGAAATAACACGTGTGCATTTTGATGTGTCGCTGCTTAATTTAACAACCTTTTTTGTTTTAATCTGAACTCGGCTTAAGATATTTACGATATGAATGTATATGTGATACTGTGGCCTGGTGATTGTGTATCTTTGTACCACAAATTAATCACCAATAGTATTCTGAGTGTAAAATGCATTTTGGCCAGATTATGATTCGAACAAATAACCTCATCATTATTTTGTTGCTCTAGCCAGATGAGCTACCCTGTTAGTGGTTGTACCCTGGCCCAGTAAGGCAACAGTCACATCTCAAACAAAAGTAAGGGGAGGCTAATTGCTGTATGTACAGAATTATATTAGAATTATTTTAAAATTGTTTTGCCTGCTGTCGGACACGGATCCTTAAATTTTACATAGGTTTTATAATGTTTCTCAGGGAGACCGAATGACGAATTGAATATCAGTATTTCTTTTGACGCATTGCGATATATATGCTTCATCGCTGAAACCTCTTTCCAAATAAAGATCTACAGTAACAAACTAATGAAACATAATGATTTAAATAACTAGTCAAACAGCAGGCTATACCCAGTAGTAAACTATACAAATAACAAGAGGCCCATAGGGCCTGTATCGCTCACCGGGATATTTAAGCAATCATGGCAGAATATTCTCCAAATGAGATCCAAGGGAATATGCCAGACCCCAAGGCCAATCCTTGTAGCATATATATCTGTATTCAATTTTTCATGCCCAGCAATTTTATGTATGGTTATGGGGTGGGGATCTCAACTGTTTCCAAGCTGGGACACAGAAACTAGGTCCCTACGGTTGTGGCCAGACCCCAGGATCAATTCTAATATCATGACTGCATTTGTCTCTTTTTACCCAGCATTTGTATATATAGTTTTGGGGTGGGGATTTCAACCGTTTCAAAGTTATGACCCAGGGGTTAAGTCTGCAAGGATGGGGCAAACCCTGGAGTCAATTCTAATATCATGACTGCATTTGTCTCTTAATGCCCAACAATTGTATATATAGTTTTGGGGTGGTGATCTTAACCATTTCAAAGTTATGACCCAGGGGTTAAGTCTCCAAGGGTGTGGCAGTCCCCAAGGCCATCCTGGAAGCATTTGTGCATTCATCTCTTTGTAATCGGCAATTGTCTATATGGTTATAGGGTGGGGATCTCAACCATTTCCAGGCAATAAACTTTTTTTGGCCCCACCCCTTAGCCCGGGGGGTCAGCCCCCCCATTTGTACAATTTTGAATCCCCACCACCTAGGGATGCTTTCAGGCAAATATGGTTGATATCCATCTCTTAGTTCCAGAGAAGAAGTCGCTTAAAGCAATATAGCTAAATTGCCCCCTTTTGGCCCTGTCATCAGCCCCCTGGGGGGCAGCCACACCATTTGTACAATTTTGATTCCCCACCACCTAAGGATGCTTCCAGTCAAATATGGTTGATAACCATCTCTTAGTTCCAGAGAAGAAGTCGCTTAAAGCAATATAGCCAAATTGCCCCCTTTTGGCCCTGTCATCAGCCCCCTGGGGGGTCAGCCACACCATTTGTACAATTTTGAATCCCTGCCTCCCATGGATGATTCTGACCAAATATGATCGATATCCATGGCATAGTTTTACAGAAGAAGTCGTTTATAGCAACCTCGCCAAATTGCCCCCTTTTTGCCCTGCCCCTCAGCCCCCTGGGGGGTCAGCCAAACCATTTGTACAATTTTGATTCCCCACCCCCTAAGGATGCTTCCAGTCAAATATGGTTGATATCCATCACTTAGTTCCAGAGAAGAAGTCGCTTTGAAGCAATATAGCCAAATACCCCTTTTTGGCCCCGCCCCTCAGCCCCCTAGGGGGTCAGCCCCACCCTTTGTACAATTTTGATTCCCCACCACCTAAGGATGCTTCCAGTCAAATATGGTTGATAACCGTCTCTTAGTTCCAGAGAAGAAGTCGCTTAAAGCAATATAGCCAAATTGCCCCCTTTTTGCCCTGCCCCTCAGCCCCCTGTGGGGTCAGCCCAACCATTTGTACAATTTTGAATCTTCACCACCTAGGGATGTTTTCAGGCAAATATGGTTGATAACCATCTCTTAGTTCCAGAGAAGAAGTCGCTTAAAGCAATATAGCTAAATTGCCCCCTTTTTGCCCCGCCCCTCAGCCCCCTGGGGGTCAGCCCCACCATTTGTACAATTTTGATTCCCCACCACCTAAGGATGCTTCCAGTCAAATTTAGTTAAATTCCAATCAGTGGTTAAGAAGAAGAAGTCATTTAAAGAAATTGTTGACGGACGGACGACGGACGGACGGACGGACGACGGACGCCACGGTATGGCATAAGCTCACCTTGGTCCTTTGGACCAGGTGAGCTAACAATAAGTAATTCCACAGTGATTTGAAGTGGGCTGTTTATTACAAAAAAGCAACATAAACACACACCATCCAAAAGAAAAAAATATGTAGCAATTATGCAATATATAATATAGTTTTGATTATTGCAATCAAGGGGAACAAAATGACTCGAATACACTATTCAACACGTTTCTGTGCTTACAAATAATAAAACTTGTGGATGCATGAACCACGGCCAAACATTGTAAAAACGCATTAGAATTATGTTTTCAAGTATGACGATAGCTTTGATAAATTATTTAGGAAAAAAAACATACACATTGCAGGACTTTTTTGAAAGATACAAAAGTTGAAATAAAAAAATTATAATCAATAATAATGTTCTGAGTGAAAAAACGTCGGTAGTGGTTAGACTAGGTATTGAACCCTAGACCTCCAATTGTTGTACTGACTGAGCCAACGGGTCAAAGAAAGTGTCCTGATAACATATTCATACAGTTACATCGAAAGCAAAATTTAATGAATTTACTGTATATAAAAAGCAACGACAGCAGTGGGACAGGGATCCTTACAATGTATAAACATGGAATGTGAGCACGATTGTGATATTAAGATGATAATTGGTGGAGAGGAGGGTATGGCGTACAGGTGATATAAAATATCAAAAAAAAATTAAAAGTGACATGAACAGGTGTCATATGGTGTATATATTAATGTCTGCACAGCTGTTAACCGATCTTGAGTATTTCATCAATAGACTCTGAGCCAAAGTCTTTGCAAACAGAAACATTGTTCTACACAATACCCAAATCCAGGCACCATAAATGTAATAAAATCATATTGGTACAACGTATTAATTATTCTATGAAGTGCAATGTTAATGATCAGTCACACCACATGCTAAAAACAATAGTTCAATAGGATGTAATTTATAATGGAACGATTGTATGTCTTAATGGCAAGATTTAAAAGAAAACACAAAGGCGTGGAATCTGTCATGATAAAGTTGAAGGCATGCAGTTAACTATAAGAGTGCTGACTACTCGCTAGACGTGTACTGTCCTTTAATGATTAGGTTACATTTAATCTGCAAGACTGTCGATTTTACCGTCATGGAATCCAGAGCGATTCTTTTGATCGTTTTAAAAGACACTGAACCAGTATACCAAGATGGATAATGATAATGGCCTTCACTCTTATCATGGCATATTCAAAGAGCGGAACCTTTGAATTTGGAAAATACATTTGCCTAAATAATGCAATTTGTACATGCAAGTTCAATTCAATGCATATCATAGGCTATAACAGAGAGACATGGTCCAAGTGTAGTCAAGTATATTGAACTGGTAACGGAATAAATGTTTCAAAGGCATTTTCCAGAATAATTTAAGCATAATTATGTAACTTTCTCTTAACACTATATGATTTTTCCTCGTTGACTGACTTTTAAGATTTCATTGTATTTTTCTACGGAAAAAGTCGAAATAGTTTATTATGAAAATATATGGAGAGTCAGGATCAACATCGGCAGTCCTAGTATAGATCTGAAGTATAAGTAAGAGATGACTGTCTGCACGTAAAAATGATAGTATACAGTTTGATTTAATCACTGGTGTACTGAAGTCGTTTTACTTCATCGGCTCCATAAACACTACCAAACGCCACCCATAGAACTCCCTGCTTGTCTATACATACATATTGTGGTCTGTTTATCTCAGTATGCAGCAGTCCCAAGTATTGTCCATCACCACTCAGTAGATGAAGACAGTCGTTGATAAAGTCAGCCACCACCAGTTGTCCGAATCTGTCGTACGCTACATCCCTGGGGTCAAAAGTCTGCGATCTTGCCCTGCTGGTGTGTTGGTGTTGTCCGTACCTATATAACTCCTGTATATGTTTGTCCATCACTATAATAAGTGGTTTGTTTTCTCCACCATCACCTGGCCAATCTCCATCAAGTACAGCAACATTCTGACTGACCGGACACTCCGATATCATTCTTGGTGAACGCATTAGCGGTTTCTTTGACTGTGATGCTGTCATAGGGCTTGGCATCCCTCCTTGAGTGTACTTGATGATTTCATGGTTCGCCACAACAAGGACATGATCATCTTTAGTAACACACAGACACGTTGGTACGCTCTTTGTGTTGAATCTACGGACCAATGTACCTGATGTCAGCTCCACGACTGAGCCAAATAAGCATGCCCAGACTTTTTGTGTACAGGGAGATACACAGATGTTTGCTATCCTATCTGGGCTCTTTATCTGCTGCTTAATTCTTCCCTCACTGGTCAGAAGAGTCACTGTCTGGTCTGCTCCATATGTCCAAACACCACCATCGTTAGCAGGACAGATATTTCTGATGTAAGATCTGTGTGGAGTATTCCATTTTGAGAGAACCGGAAAGTCTGGTAGATGTGAGACCAGTTTTGCTGAATGGGTCATCTTGTGCGGCGTTCGGTCTGAAGGTCGTGTTAGCTGTTGATCCGATGATCCAGCTGATGTGTGGACTTTAGCAAAGACATGACCATCAGATTGGCCAGATGAAGTCAACGTCATTTTCCCCAATGCGAACCTCAGAGATTCGTCAGGATGTTTGTTTGGACTAAACTTGGCGGTCCCCAGGACGGGTCTTCTAGGTAATGTGATGTCTGTATGAAGTCTACTGGTAACATCAAATACCTTGATATCTGTGCCATTCTGAAGGGTTTCCTTACACTGGTTTAGTTGATCCTTCAAATCTGCAAGTTTTCTTTCGAGTTCTGTCTTATAACTGGTGAGGAGTTGGATATTTTCATTTTCTAAATGCCTCAATTGTGAAAGTGTTTCAGCAATAAGAACATCAATGTCTTTTTTCAGTTTTATTCCGTTGCTTTTCACTTCTTCTGCTACATTTTTGAAATGGCTGAGGTGTTTTTTGAGACTCTCCTGGTTTGAATTGATTTCCTGTTGTATTTCAATCAGCTCCTTTTGTTCTGTTTCATTGATGAACGTTTTTATTTTAAGTTTATTGTTTGGAGTAGTTTCACTCAACGGAACAATGCTATGACCTTTGTGTAATGACGAAATACAATCGACACATATGACGTCATGACATGTCTCACAGAACCAGTCCAATGTCTTCTTTTTGTGATGTGCGCATGTCTTCTGACCTTGACATCGGACAGCTATCTGTCCTTTATAGATGGAGATTGCCTTACCTGCCATTGTATCTGCTGATGAGGGAAGAGACAACTATTATAAAAGCTTTCTTCAAGGTACAAATATGCACATACTAGAGACACTCTCCATATGCGGAAGGAAATGCTTTGTGGTGAAAGCTGACACTCTTTACTTGCAAAAGTGAGTATTTAATGGTAGCACTCTCCGCACTTGTGGTAGTCTTTGTTCCATTACAGCACATTCCACACCTGAAAAAAAACAAATCGGTAAGTCAAATATAATACGAAATTAGGTTTTCCTAGTGCTGGTTAATTTCGGTAGATGTTGGAAAGATAAGCAAAAAGCATATATGTTAAAAACGATTTAGTGCCAACATCTGTTTTGGTTATTACATTTCAAATCACCTGACACCTTGCCTGTTCCATTTTTGCTATTTTCAGATTGCTTCCGGTTGTAATATGATATAAACCACTAAAACAATATGCGCTAAAAGGACATGTTTCAGGGAATATTTTAGGCTCATTCAAGTACCGCGTATTATGAGGTCACAAAAGTTTTGCAATTCAATATAACTTATTGATCTTTTGAAAATTCATTATTTTATGCAGATGAACTCATTTCGTTTCAAAACTTGATAGTACAAAAACCTTTATGAAAGTAGCAGACTAACAATGCCTATCATAAAATTCTCTGAAACGCACAAAAATATCATTAAAGGGTCCCGAGAAAGGCACACAGAGAACAAAAATAGGGCCCTAAATTATCGAGATATTGAGGAGGCACGGTAGTCTAGTGGTAGGACGCCGGGCTCGTGACCAAAAAGGTTGCGGGTTCGAGTCACGGCACGGCACTGTGTTGTATATTTAAGCAAGATACTTTACTCCCCCTGTTCCAGTCTACTCCGCTGGTAGGGCAGTGCTACAATTGTTGAATGCTAGCTGTGAGCGCCGAAATGGCAGCACCGGCTGTATGCTCTCCAGAGAGCTGAGAAAGATATTGGCTGGTTGCAAAGGCCATATAACCACGGATAATAACTTGTGTACCGCTTTGAGACGACCTACGAACTAGGTTGTGATAAAGCGGTATATTGGAACCTCGAATTATTATTATTATTAGATTAACAGACAGACACAATGAAGGACACTAAAAACACTCAGTGGCCGTATAGTTTTCTGAAAAAGACAAGCTCAGACACAAGGCATGTTTGGGTAACCTGCACTCATGAGGTTTTCACGGGAGGTCACTCTTTCAATAATGAAAACACAAATGTGTCTGGTCACACCAGATAATTCAGTTGATGACCAGATGGAAATTATAAAATTATTTGGTCATTGTTTGTACCATATACATTTAGTAACGTGACCAGATATAACCAGATCTTACATAAAAGTTGCTGAAATGACCGTCTCACGTTATATTTTTGATATTCAAATGCGACACCAAGAGAAAGTTTTGCTGTCACGATAACAATTCACATGTTATTCTCACAATGTAAGAAACTTTTGAGATTACCTTAATGCATAATTGCGTAATACCAGCAAAGATTATTAAAAGTAGCAAATAAATAGATTCCTCACATTTCTCAACATTTCCTCATTACTCATTATGACCAGTTGTTCAGTTTCATTGATGAACGTTTTTATTTTATGTTTGTTGTTTGGAATAACTTCACTCAACGACAATGCCATGACCTTTGTGTAATGTGAAAATACAATCGACACATATGACGTCATGACATGTCTCACAGAACCAGTCCAATGTCTTCTTTTTGTGATGTGCGCATGTCTTCTGACCTTGACATCGGACAGCTATCTGTCCCTTTTTGAAGGGGATAGCCTTGTCTGCCATTTTCCCCGGCTGATGAATGACGTTACAATAATATTAATGTTTTCTGCAACGTAGAAATACTCGCTTAATGGAGACACCCCTATGTGCGGTGTTCTGTACTCTCTATTTGTAACACATTCCATACCTGTGGTAGTCAATATTCTGTGGTAACAAACTCCACACCTGTGGTAGTCAATATTCTGTGGTAACAAACTCCACACCTGTGGAAGTCAATGTTCTATTACACTGTAATACACGTGAAAGTCTGAAGGACATCCTGTTTTGACGATCAGTCACGAAATAAAAATACGTATATTAAGTGGAACGTACATTGTCAAGTACATCTTGAGAAATAGAGATAACAAACTAGAGCTGTCAAATTCGAGATGGCTTCCTGGCGGCAACTTTGTTTCTCTGACCAACCTCAATGAAACATGTACTATTGAATTTGAACCAATGAAAATAATAACATGAAACTTGAGAAAGGTCTGTTCAATACTTCGAAGGCAGCTGTCAAAAACAGGGACAACTACTGACCAAGGAGATGATTTGTTTAAGAAAAAATTACAGAAACCTATATAACAAGCATTAGGAAATAACATGGCACGTTTAGATTCCCGCCCCACCGTCCTGTACTGTATAACTATTACAGTTATTTTTTCGGCCAAATATACACTTTCGTTCAAACCGGACGGAGGACGAACGGTTTTCAGATGGAGACCGAACGCTGACCGTCCGCTAGCCAGACGCTGTACGAACGCTGTTCGGGACAAACGTGGCTAGAACGGCCGCTTAGCGACCGATAAAGCTATTATTAACAAATGCATGGCCGGTCGAAAGAACGGTCGATGAGGCTGTTTCACCTAATTCAGTCAATCTACTAAACCACTGTCTGATCGAATTCCGTGTCTTAACCACAGAAAAGGATTTACACCCCGAGTCATAATGTATTTGTTAAGTAATTACAGGAGGAAACTAAATACGCTGATCAATTGTTTCGCATCATTGACACGGTCTGAAATTAAAGCTTGGCTTGGACAATGTGATACACAACTAGAATCACAGGTCAAGAAATAAAAATCTTACAATTCAGATAAGTTGGTTAAGATCGGAATAGCCTAAATCATACAATATTGTTATAAACGTAAGGCTACAGTGCGCACAAAAAAAACCGGAGCTTGTGGGTGTCACACGATAGACACAGTTACTTATAAATGCTATTAATGTTTTATGTTTTGATGGGCCCCGTGCGCTACTGACACCTTCCTTGGATCGTCTACCTTGTTAAAACATAATTAAAAGCAGATACTATAGATACACTTGATTAAGAAATTCAATTAAAAAATCAGATAAATGAAACTAGTTACATTCCATCTATCGTAACATACATCTTCCACATATTATGTACACGTGGTTTGTTTCCATTTGGACATAAAGGTATATATTTTTTAAAATATAGCATTCGTCCCATCACGGAATGAGGTAAGATCTAAATCCGTGGTTTCCCTAATCACAAATATCTGCGATATCAAATTATGAAAACAATAAAACATGTATCATCAGATTTTTAGCATTTCTTATTATTTTTTCATATTATTCCCGACAAGTGATTGGCCAGGAGTGCATCACGTGTCCACCGATAAAAACCGATACTGACTTTTGTTGAAGGACTGGGTGTTACTAAAAATAGAATTATGACGTGTCTCCAAACGAACGCATCGTCCCGCTTACGTAAACTTTTGCTGTTGTTTTTTTTTATTTCAGATTGTTAACATTACTCTTTTGAAAATAATAAAACAATTGTAGCCTTTGACCTCGGTCGATACCTGGATTTATCGACCCGAGAAAAGATATATTGACCTCGGACTGCGTCCTCTGTTAATATTTCTTTTCTCGGGTTGATAAATCCAGGTATCGACCTCAGCCAAAGGCTATAATTGAATAATATATTTGTTCATATCCCTGCAGATTGTTCATATTAGCAACTTTCACGGCCTGTTCAATTGTTTCTCATTACGTACATGAAATATATTCCAGATGCAAGTACGATGTATAAATATGCCAAAATAGGAAATATTATTGTTGATTTTGCTATTCGTCACGTTTAGGAAACGTGGAAACAGGGACAAGTACGCCATGACGTCACGAACCTTTTAACGTCAGTTATTAGGAATGAATTTCCACTCAAAAATAAGTCTGTATCATCAACACAGTTTCAAAACATTCGCTTCGACAATGCGGTTCGACCGATGTGGATTTATATGCTTACCGTGCCATCGTGTGCTATGGTTTTATGGCACATTATGATCATTATAATGATTAACTAGCATATCATAACGTGCTGTGTTTCTCATTTCATGCTTTTACCTATATACATGTACATTTAAATCAGCACATTTTCTGTGAAACATACATGCACCAATACACAACTTAATTATTAACTTTACAATACAAAAACTGTGTGTTTCGTTTTGATAAAAATTTTGATTCTCTAAACCGACATACATAAGTGTCCACGGCGCGGATCAAGGGTTGTGCGTGGGTGAGTTTGTGTGGGTGTGTGGGTGTGGGTGGGTGGGTGTATGTGTGTGATTTATGAGGTTCTAGTGGCGACGTTCCGCTGGGGAGTAAGAGGGGTCCCTGGATCTGACACCTCTGGTTATTTACAACTCTCACGCATCACATCATATGATATTGGCCGAATTTATATCATATTGAAATTTAACTTCCTGCTTTTAATTTTATCTGATTTTAGAATGGATATACGTACGCTTGATATAGCTCAGGAAAGATATAAACCACATCAACCATGAAACAGCAAGTCTTCACAAGAAATACAAGGCAGAAATCGGAGAAACAATACAATAAATCAGCCATTCCAGACCATGCTAACACACACAACCACATCATAGGCTGGAACAACTCAAAATTTAAAGAATCAGTCTTGGTAAGGAAGGAAGGGGATTCGATGAACAGAGACGAAGAGACTACCAATGAGTCATCTTTATGGCCCCATTTTGACACCTATAAGGGGCGGAATGGGTAAAAATGTTATCTGTCTCCCTGACTGCCAACAGTATTAGAGTGCAACTGGGCGAAATGTCTTTATAATTTTGGCAGCTAACTTTACTGATTGGGCAAACTTTTGCTCAGTGAGTATTTTTAGCGGTTTGGAGTCAAGACAACGGTCATATACACTTTGCTTTTGCTTGACAAAG